TTGACCTCTTCTTCCACCCACGCGTGACAAGCGTATGAGCAAAAGGCTTGCCAAACTTAGTACTCACATCTTTCACCTTTTCAAAAATTTGTTCGCCGGTCAATGTAGGTGGAGCTTTACGTTGTTTTGAATCTCCATTGAATGTTTTTCTCCAAATTCCAAGAAAGACATTCTTCTGACCAAATTCCAACCGCGTCCAATCTGTGTTTTCTTCACAGATAGGACACGCACATTGATCTTTAATGCTATACCCCGATAGATTTCCGTATGCTGGGAAATCATTAATTGTGCCAAACAACATCGCCCTCAAATTGAAACTTTCTTTCCTATATCCATCATAAACCTCCACACCGTTCTCCCACAAACTCTTTAAGTCTTCGATTAGAGGTGTCAGATATACGTCTATGTCATTCCCTGGTTGTTTAGGGCCAGAAATTAACATAGTTAACATCATGTACTTACGCTTCATACATAGCCATGGAGGTAGGTTATAAATCATAATAATTACAGGCCAGGTGGAATGTGAGATACTCTGCAGACCATGCGGATTCATTCTATCAGTCGATAATGCCAAGCGAAGGTTTCTAGCTTCTTCTCCAAAATCAGGATAATCATTATCAATTTTCATCCACTGTGGTGAATCTGCCGGATGTCGATACTTCCCATCTACAATTCTATCATCTGCATTCCAAGTCAGGTGTTTTGCATCTGTTTCACTACGAAACATGTGTCTGAATCTCGGAATTATAGGAAAATACCATAATACTTTTGCTGGTGACAATTTTTTCTTATACCGAGATACACCGCATTTAGGACACTCGTTTAATGATGCATATTCATTTCGAAACAAAATGCAATCATTTGGGCAAACATGTATCTTATCATAGCTCATGCCAATAGAGCATAACATTTTTTTAGCTTCATAGGTTCGATTGGGAAGAACATTATCCTCCGGAAGCATCTCTTGAAGTAGGGCTAACAACTATGTGAAACTTTTATCCGACCATCCATTACCCGCCTTTAAATTGTACAACTTTAATACCATGGACAATCTTGTGAAAGTAATGCAATCTTTGTACAACGATTTCTCTGCATCGCTTACCAACCTCTCAAACATCTTGGGACAATCTTGAAGATCTTCTTCAAGTGCTTCTGCAATCTCTTCGACTCGATCACAATCATATGTATCTCTGCCATTGTCCTTTGAAGCACATGTCGTATTATTCCGGGGTTCAACATTCTCGTTACTCATCTCACCATGTAATGTCCAACATGTGTAACTTCGATCAATTCCATGTCTCATTAAATGAGATTCCAACTGAACGGCGTCAACTCGACGCCCATAACAGCATCCTAAGCAAGGACATTTGATCCTACTGGGGTCTTTGGCGTGTTCAACATCAAACTTAACGAACTTCGATACCCCATTCTCGTACTCTTTTGACAATCGATTACCAGACATCTATTTTTTATCCATACTAATTGAGTAATCTACACTAAACTATAAAAGTTAAACAAAACAGAGAATACCTGTAAGGAAATCACTAACTTCTAAGAATGCTACGCAATAGGATGCTTGGAAACGATCACAGCTTTGCTCTTCACAGGTAACCCCTATAACAGACAAAATATAAATTTTATTAAAATCATATTAATAATTAACCAAGACAAATCATATTAAAAATACTAGATAATCCACCAAAACAAATCATATTAAAATTACTAGATAATCCTTAAACCAAAATGACACCCTTACTAAACATTGAGAAATCCTAACTAAACATATAAAACCATAATAACATATATATCATATAAACATTGAGAAATCCATCATAATAACATAATAACATATCAACATATAAAACCATAATAACATATAAAACCATATCATATAAAACCATATTCATGTTGGCTACTCTCTTAAAAAATACGAATTTCTAAACTATTAAAAAATATGCTCTATCAAGTTACATTAATATTTTTAGCCATCATTATCTAATATTTTTGTTATATTCAAATTAGAAGAAAACTCATTTTTATGAGTGGTGCTAGATGAATTATCCATCTAAGTTCAAAATAGCAACAAAATAAAAACAACATCTATCTCAATCCCAAAATAACAATAGAAAAACAATAACACATAAAACATTTTGAGTTTAGGCTTTTAACAACAGCAACAACAAAAACAATAGTATACGTAACATATCTACACAAACCCAACAACATTAGTGTTAACATCATATCAAATATCATACTTGAACTCAAATTTACTTGCATGTCCTCAAACCTTCAATACAAAACAACACTAAAAACCTTCACTAAACCTTCAATAACCCAATAAAAACAACAACAGCAACAATAATATTAAACCTTCAATGCCTCAATAACAACAAACTTTCGCATTGCAACAATTATATCAAACCTTCAATATCTCAATAACACAAAACCTTTAATATCTCAATAACAACAAAGAGACAATAACACATAAATGCTTAACTCAGCAAACCTTTAAAGAATTTGATCAATACATATAACCACTATAACTCAGCAATGCCATATACATATACCTTCAATATCTTAATAACAACAAAGAGACAATAACACAAAACCTTCAATATCTCAATAAAATAAAACCATCTATATCATCAGAATAGAAAAACCATCTATATCTTCAAATACCAACAATGGTGAAAAGATAAATAAACAAGAAAACCATAGTAAAACTTCACATACCGTAACAATGGTGGAAATACAATGCAATGCAGACTCGAAAACGGACGGTGAACGGCGACGGCGACGCAATCCAACGGAAGAGGGCGACGGTCGACGGCGGATGACGGCAACAGAAAGTTTGAATAGGGCAAGTTCGTTCGCCAAAGGAGAAAGAAAGAAGAAAAGAAATGTACGACTGTTCTGTTTCTCTTAAAATTTTGGAGGGTATTTTAAAATTATAATACTAATACCTATAGCAGCGCTTTTAAAGGCCTTTAGCAGCGCTTTTAAAAGCGCTTTCATAGGGTGCCTTAGCAATGCCATATAACAGCGCTTTATAGAAAAAGCGCTGCTAAAGGGGCCCCTTTTAGCAGCGCTTTTTAAAAGCGCTTTCTTAGGGTCCCCCTTTAGCAGCGCTTTTTAAAAGCGCTTTCTTAGGGTACCCCTTTAGCAGCGCTTTTTAGAAAGCGCTTTCTTAGGGCCCCCCTTTAGCAGCGCTTTTTTAAAAGCGCTGTCTTTGGTAGAAAATTTTTTTTCTTTTTTTTTTACTCACCCTTTAGCAGCGCTTTTTTAAAAAGCGATGTCTTTGTGTGCGCTGCTAAAACTCATTTCTAGCGTAGTGAACCCTACATGAAAGATAGATTTGGCCATCTCTATATGCAACAATCATGTTTTTGACGAGTCTTTGACTTATGAGAGACAAGACATGCAAGTATGACATGGTGACAACGTCCAACATACATTTTTCTATAGAGCTGAGTTTTGACATCATCGAAACAAGCTCATCTACCTATGAGGCTTTTCCCTCACACAAATAAATGCCCTCTGGCTTTTATTTTAATTGAAAAATAATAGAATATTACATATTTTTTTATAGGGGAATCTTATGTTGAGGATGAAATCCAAACATTTTTTTATAGGGAAATTTTTCAAAGTTCGTCCATATGGCATGGGAAAAACCTATTAATCCTAAATATTTTTATTTAAATATGTTCAACATACACAAATTTCATACTTAAGAAACTCTATATAACATATTATTATCAAAGTCTCGCATTCGAACATCTATTCTCCTACACTTCTGTCTTCTCTTTTACAATAAACACACGTGAGAGACATCTCAAGTTATGTTTGGATATCATGAAATAAACATACAAGAATGTAGCAGAGGAAAATGAAATAGAACGGAACGAAATGAAGATTACATTCTGTTGTTTGGAAATTTTAAGACGGAATAAGACAAATTATTTATTATGCCCAAATCAAAAGAAAAAGGAATGGATATGGTGGTAAGTGATGGACACTCCATTCCACTTTGTTCCATTCGATTTAAATAACCCAAACAATAAAATATCATTATATTCTATCCAATTCCGCTTCGCTTCATTTGATTCCTTCCATCAAAACAAAAACCTTATAGTATCACTAGATTTTATAATTAAAAATGGTTTATCATTGAAATTGGAATAATCTACTTTTAAATAATTTATTTTTGAGATATAAGCTTAAAGCTGAAAGAACCCATGCATATCTTTAAAAAATTGTCTATTGGTTTATTTAATTTGAGCTATTGTCTTTTGTCTTTTAACAAATTGATTTAAAATTATTTGAAAAAAAATTGGAATTATCTAGAACCAATACAAATTAGTTGCAAACTTGGTGGCAATTATTGCCAACAATATATCACCTACCTAAAAATTATTTGATATTTTTAATATATTAACTAAAATAATTAAATTAACATTTTAACTTTCAATAAATTTAAGTGAAATATTACAATATTAAAGTGTAATATTTTAAAGATTTCTTAAATAAAGGATGATTTGGCATTAAGATGAGTTATTTAATAGACACTCCAAGGAGATGTTATTAGAGTATTTAAATTACGATAATGGGCCAATAATTGGAAAGAATTATCTTAAATAAAGTGGATATCAATACACTATAAAAGTATATATGTTATGCATATATGTAAGTAATATTATTTTAATATAGAACAAATTTGTACCTATAAGTTGATTTGATGTAGACAAAACGAGTTAACTAAAAACCAAACTTTGACAAGCTTAATTGTATAATAATAAATAATAGTTAACTTAATAGATTTTATTGAATATATATAGACACACATTGGTTTCCCATGTTGTCACTGTATTTTCGCCACTTGTACCTTTCTTCTGAATTGGCTACTCAAAGTGCAGAGCCATGGTATTGAATTTTCATTCACGTTCCCCATGTACCTCATGCTTTTTCCATTTTCTTACTAGCTACTTTTTTTTTTTTTGCCCATGCAGGAAAAATCAGAGTTTGTTGATAGGAAAATGGAATCAGAGGTTCAGGTGGTTGATGGAAATAAAGTGGATTGGAAAGGAAGAAGTGCTTTGAAATCCAAATACGGTGGGATGAAAGCTGCTTTGTTCATACTAGGTAAAACATACCATCATTTTCCTTGCCAGTGATAACTATTTTTGTGGTTAATGATGTAAGTAACTTATGTTTGGGTGCAGTGACACTTGGTTTGGAAAACTTGGCAAGTTTCTCACTAGCTGCGAACTCGATTACGTATTTCAATGGAATCATGCATTATGAACTAGAAGATGCAGCTAACATGCTCACCAACTATTTAGGTGTCAGTTGCATACTCTCTATTTTGGTTGCTGTGTTCGCTGACAAGTGGATTGGCAGATACAAATCTGTTTTATTTTCTTGCTTCTTCGAGTTTTTGGTAAGATTCAAAAATCATCTCTCAACACCAACCTATTGTGTGCTTATTGAATGCATATTCACAGGTTATGTTTTTGTGATCGGTGTTACAGGGCCTTGCATTGGTTACAACACAAGCGCACTATCCTAGTCTGAAGCCGCAAATTTGCAACGTCAATGATAAAACTGTTCCTTGTAAAACACCAAGTGGTGGCCAGGAAGCTTTTCTCTTCATTGGTCTATACTTGTTGGCCATCGGCGGTGCGGGAATCAAAGCTGCATTGCCATCACATGGCGCAGATCAGTTTGATGAAACTGACCCTAAAGAAGCAAGGCAAATGTCCACTTTCTTTAACATGAACTTGCTTGCTGTTTCAATGGGTGGCGCAATCAGCTTAACGTTCACTGTGTGGATACAAATCCATAAAGGATGGGATTGGGGCTTTGGTATTGGCACAATAGCTATATTGTTAGGTACCATAGTTTTTGCTGCTGGGTTGCCACTGTACAGAAATCAAGCTGCTAAAGGAACTAGTGGTCTCATTGAGATCATACAGGTACCATAATTTTTTTAGGACTATATATGTTGCATTGATCTAGCTGTTTACTTTAACTTTAGTCATGTTTTTGCCAGGTCTATGTTGCTGCAATCCGCAACAGAAATCTCTCCTTACCCGAAAATCCAGCAGAACTATACGAGATTGATCAGGACAAGGAAGCTGCTGACGAAATTGAGTTTCTACCTCATAGAGACACTCTCAGGTTCAAATGTTCATTCTACATCTCTCTTGGTCATAATTCACTAGTAAAAGGGAGTTAAAGTGAAGAGTCTTAGATCAAATTTTTATACAATAAAATATATGCCTCTATTAAAATCTAAATGAATTTCCCTTTTAACAGGTTCTTGGACAAAGCGGCTATAAAATCAAAACCTGATAACCAATTAGAGAATTCAGAGACACCAAGCACAAGCCAATGGAAACTTTGCAGGGTTACCCAAGTAGAAAATGCCAAAATAATTCTCAGCATGGTCCCAATATTCTTTTGTACAATTATAATGACCCTTTGCCTAGCTCAGCTCCAAACCTTTTCGGTTCAACAAGGCTACACCATGGACACAAGCTTCACCAAACACTTTGACATCCCACCGGCATCCCTCCCAATTATCCCAATCATGTTCTTAATCATTCTTGCACCTATCTACGACCGCGTTTTAGTGCCTGTTCTACGCAAATTCACCGGTATTCCAACTGGTGTTACACATTTGCAGCGTATAGGAGTTGGTCTAATGCTTGCTTCTTTATCCATGGTTGTGGCCTCAATAATAGAAGTGAAAAGGAAAAAAGTGGCTAAAGACAACAACATGCTTGATGCCTTACCAGTACTTCAGCCATTGCCAATAAGCATGTTTTGGCTGTCTTTTCAGTATTTCATATTTGGCATAGCTGACATATTTAGCTATGTTGGTCTCCTTGAGTTTTTCTATTCCGAGGCGCCGAAAGGTCTTAAATCTACATCAACTTGCTTCCTTTGGAGTTCTATGGCACTTGGGTATTTTCTAAGTACCATAACGGTTAAGTGTATCAATGGTGTCACCAAGCATACAAAAAATGGGGGTTGGTTAGTAGGGAATAATATTAACAGAAATCACCTAAACCTCTTCTACTTCTTCCTTTTCATTGTGGGCTTGCATAACTTCTTTCTCTATCTGTTTGTTTCAAAAAGATATAAGTACAGAACTCAAGGCCCTAATGTCCCTTTTGATGGCGATTCAAAGGAGTTAACATAAGCAAGAAAAAAGACTATATATGCATATGGCTTTTATGAGTGTTGGTGAGACAAAATAAAGATTCAGTCATTTCACTTTTCATAATTTGGAAGCTATACTACTCTCAAGTCTCAAAGATATTCATAATCTTTGATTAAATAATCTTATGCATGTCTTTAGGCCAAATTGAAGTCTGTTTAATCTTCTTTGTACAAGTCAGCAGTCTTAATTTATATCTTTATATATCAAATATGACCAGAAAGACACTAATATTCATTCTGGAGTACATTGAAGCTAATTGCACTGTATCTTTGGTTTATTTTTGAAAGGCGCAAAAGCAATTTTAAAAGTATAGAATTGATTTTGGAATAATTTTAAAGTGTTTGATTCTTTTAAAATAGAATTGATTATGCCTTCAGAATTGATTATACTTGAAGTTAGAATTTATGAGTTTTGAGTTTAAAGTGATTTTTATTTTGAAATTTACAATTCAACTCAATTTTACAAAAAATTATTTAAACATAAATCATTTTACGTTCAATTCACTTTTAATCAAAATCAAATTTTTTTACGGTAGAATCAAACATTCTATCAACGTTGTTTGCATTTTAAGCTTCTAAAAAAGAAAAGGAACTTATAAATTAAAAGTAAGCAATGTCAGCCACTTTTTTGCTACAATTACTCAAAGAAATACAATTCAACTCTATAATAAAAAAATCAGGGCACAAAAGGATGCAAAATTACCTCAAAGAAGACAACATTTTAGTAGTCAGGTTGTTAATTAATAGTCAATCTGGATAAATTCAAAACCTGAAGCAACAACCGCAGACCTTGATTCCACCTGAGCAAAACAGCCACAAGAACAACGTTGAAATATTTAAGCTCTAAACAAAACTTTATAAATAAAATTTGGTGCATTTGAATTAATATGCTTACTAAAAATAACAGCATGTTTCAGTTGCAATCTCAAGAACATTACTCCCCAATGATCATGCACATGGAAACATTGAAAATATCATGAAGGAAATCAAAAAAATATTTACGATTAGGTTTCTATCGAAATTTGAATTTCTCATCGTAGAGGAAACTCACATATAAATCTATTGAAATTTTCAAGTAACAATAAGAATTGGAATTCTAATCGAAATTACCTCTGTGATTCTAGGGACACATTTAAGCTAACAGCATTTTCTAATCCTAATCGACTTTTGTTTCTCATTCGTATGCATCTCTACTAGGTCATACACTCACAATCATTCATTTCTTGTGATTTGGGTTTTCCTTGTTCAAAGGGGATTTATTTGGCTACTACACTCAAGTGAGACAAGGATTGAATTCTCATCATCATGAGCATCTTTTTATCAAGGTTCATCAAGTTACAAGGTCATATTCTTCAAGATTTCTCAAAAGCATCAAGTGCTAGGATTTTGTCATGGATTTCAATTGAGAGGGCTTAGTGCTAAGGTTTTCTTGATTCTCCACATCATAAGCTATTATCATCACTCAATGTGCATCTCAAGAGGAGATTAGGGTTTGTTACTCATAATGGTTGAGCTTGTTAGCATTCATCAACTAAAGATTATTTTAGGGTTTCATGTGAAGTATCTCTCCATACTTCAAGTATTCTTATCTTTAAGGTTTCCTTGCGATAAGGCATCTTTTGAGATCATTAATCAATATTTCAAGGGTTTGGAGTTTGAGTTGCAAAGAACAAGTCATGGCATAAGGTGTGGACCTTGTGGATTCATCGTCAAGGCATTGTCATCATTCTCAAACACTTGTTGCTTACAAGTTGGATTGAATTGTTAATTGAGATTAATGTTTTATTTGAAAGGAAATTTGATGTAAACTTGTTCATCAAGATTATAAGGTGGTTTTGAGATTCAAGAACAATGTGCCTAAGTTGGTAAGCAAGCAAGTTTTGAGATCCTTTTGTAGGAATTCCTTGGCATTTAAGGTGTCGATTCATCATGGTTCATCCTTTTCAAAATGTCTTGCTCTCATGCCTTCATTAAAAGTCAAGTGTTCTTTCAACATTTTTCTTCATCATTTTTCATTCAAAACTATTTCCAAAAGAGCAAGGTTTCTTGACACACAAGTCACATGTTTCAAGGCATACTATTTTAGGTCATTCTAAAATGCAAGGGTCTAAGGCTATCATCATTCAAGTCATTATCATTTTGACTCAAGTTTCATTCATCCACTTCAAAGTGTACATTGTTCATCATCATTCAAAATTAAAACATGGTCACCTTTGTTTTTTAAGCCATCATTACATGTCCAAAATCACCCCAAATTGTTTGCATTGCTTGCTCAAAATTGTGTTTAAAACTTTGTTTCAAATTTGACCCTTGATTGGTAAAATAACAAGTGTACTATTTTGCAAATGTAGTAATAAAAAGGAATTTCCCCGAATGTCGATCTCGAGAACTGCTTGACGATATAGAGTTTTAAATTCAATTTAATAAAACAAAAAGTACTTGAGGGTTGAGGATTGTTTGGTGAAATTATAAAACAATTGCATAAAAGTAAATAAAGTATTAGAGGTTTAGAAAATATATGAGTAAATTATGCTAGAGATGGTGTATGACATGACTCAGTAACAACTCTAAATTACACTGCAACAACTTATTGTAACTAACTAATTACCGATTCTTTAGAGTGTTTACTCCTAAGTCCTTAGTGAGAAAACCTTTAATCATTCACCCTAATTCATATGTCCATAGAGAGTTACAAATGAAATTAAGCAATCAATTATTAAAAATATTTTGGCTCCTATAGGGTATCCCTAATCCTAGGTGATATCTACTACAGAATGATCTAAAGAAAAGCATTAACAACGGCGATCCAGCATAATCATTAATCAAAAATCAAACTCTGTTTGTCCGACAGGGCAAGCATTAAGAACAACTAGAGATCAAATTAATTATGAAAAACAAAGAGATTTTTATTGCAATACTAATATCAGAGTCATTACATATTCAAATCAGGGACACCCCCTAGCATTGGGGGGTTTAGCTACTCATATCGTTCAAAAGAAAATACAAAGTAAAAATAAAACATTACAAGATAATAGGATTACTTTGATCTTCAATGGCTTCTGCTCATGAAAACCTTCGGTTCTCAAATTGCCTTGATCTCCCCAATCTTGATCGTCAAATTCTTCTCTCCTCCCAAATGTCCTTTTTCTCTTTCCAAACTCATCTAAAATAGTCACAAGTTCAATACAGCAGTGAGAAAATACCGAAAATACCCTCACAGGTCCCCTAAGTGAAAAATCTGAGAAAAATAGAAAATGAAGCACCTCAGCCAACACGGCCATGTTAGCTGACACGGGCGGCCGTGTTGGCCCCCTGCTCCTCTGCTCAAATTCTATCTTGTTTCAGGCTTGCTGACACAGGCGATCGTGTCAACCCCCTGGACTCTTCTTTCTTATCTTCCTCTTGACATCTTCCTGACACGACCCGTGTCAGGTGATACATTTGGTTGTGTCAAGCCCTCTGTTTCCTTCCAAAAACTCTTCCAAATTCCTGTGATTTTTCCTGGCTTTCACTCTGATTATTCATGAATGCTTACCAGAACCTAAAAACATTGGAAAGACACAACCAAAGCATAAAATGTGGTAAACAAAAATAAAATGCAACTAATCGTAAAAGAAAATTAACTAAAACTATCGATAGAATAACCCATAAAAACCACCGATCAACCCCAAATTGATCCAATGTCATGCTTTAAAAGGTTTCCAAAGCTGTCCAAAAATCATGCCAATTCTTATCAAAATTCTATCCAAAAGTTGTACAAAAAACCAATGCACACCTCATGCATTGTACCTAATTGTTTTCACCTAACCCACTTGATCAAATGCATCCAAACTTTACCCAGAGCAACCAAACCACGCGCATGCACATGATGAATCTTTTTTCCAAAATTTGCCAAAAAAATAAAAATCTCAAAGTTGTGATGTAAACTTGTTCAACAAGTTTTACTTGTGCAAGCTCACTCTTCTCATCTTAACAAACTTGTCCAACCCTCAAACCAAAGCAAAATTAAGCCTAGCATGTGGTAACCAACCCTTGAACCAAACCTGCTAACTCAAGTTAAAACTTCACTCGAACAAATTCTGAAGCTTAGCTTTGTTTCCAAGCCTTCTCCTAGACCTAAACACCTCTCTATAAATAGATATTCCCTCTATTTTTCTTCAATCATCAACAATTCCAAATCTGAAAAAAGCTCAATTTCTGGTTCACTGTAATTGTCACTCTATCACTGTCACTAGACCTAAACACCTCTCTATAAGTAGATATTCACTCTATCACTGTCCAATTTTCAAATTATCAATTCTCTTGGAATTCACTGTAATTTCTGGTTCCAATCTTCATCTACACCATACTTCTAAGCTTATGTATGCATTGGTTCATTCTTGTAGCCTCTAAATCATTCTATCCAAGTCCAAGTTTCTCATGATGCAAATAGAGGTGGTTGGATAAATCCAGAGGGTTTCAAAGTAAATTAATCATATATCATACTCCTGGAACTTTAGTGAAGCTTCTTTCATCGTTTTCTTATCTAATTTGTGGCTGAGAAGAGGCATCAAACCTACTACAATAGGTACGTCTTTGATTTCTTCAAGCTCAGTCATTTCATCATCATTTGCACTCGTTTTTGTTCCATAATTGATGTATAACATGCATGGATCTGAAGCCCTAACTTGTTAGGCATTGATTGCTACTTTTCGTGATTTAATTTGAAATCCAATTTTTAGGGTTTTCTGTGTTTGTGCATGATTATGTGAGTTTGAGTTTGTTTAAGTGAAAACTAATATCATTTTCGTGATCTACATGAAAATTCTAGTGAGCTAATGGTGATGCTTTTGATTTTTGGAACCATAACCACCGTCGTCGCGGCCTTGTGGCAACTAATGTGGTGGTAGTTCAAACGGAGAAGATGAAGGCGATGATCTGGCCTTGGCGCGTTTTTTTTGAATTCAAATGGATGTGTTGGTGCATTCTTATTGGTCGTGG